AACCATCGAGGGACGTAGGACCTGTAAAATTTGTCCACTATCCCATTTAGAGCCATCATATAAATTTTGTACCTCACAAAAGAATTTTGAAGGTTAGGGAATGAGGATGCCAAGGTAGCCTCATCCATGCAACAATCATGCCAGAAGAATATTTGTTTGTCTCCTTGTAGATTTATTTTTCCGTGCACGTGTGATCAATCATTTACAGTAACAAGTCAAATGTATCTATTTATCGCTAGACATTGTGTCATTAAAAATAAAAATTCTAAAAATGAAATGAACTGAATGAGATAAAGAACATGTTTGATTAAGCTCAAAAAATTTACTCGTATCTAAATTTACTAATATTTAAATAATTAAATGTTAAAATAAATCACCTTTTTGGGTAAAAGTTGAAAATGAAAATAAGTTAGTCGAACCTCCATTTGGCAAATTTATAAATAGAAAAAGTAAGATAAATAGTTATGGATCTCACAAAATGTGTGAATAATAAATAAGTAATAATTCTAAATAATATAATTGAAATTAAATTTTTTTTTTCGATTCATTTTATAAAATGAATAATGTTATTTATGATTATGATGATGAAATATCAACAATGTGACAGTTTATGTGGAATAATGGAATTGGACAGTTCAATTTTTATGAGAAAGGGGGAAGAGTCGTGATCTCAAAAGAGAAAAAAAAATGTGAGGAATAATGAATTGCTATATTTTATAATCATGATGATAAATAGTATTATTCTTATAAATTAGTTGGCAAAAGGAGGCATTTTTTGTTGTTGTGGAAATTACAGATTTCCAGGTGTTTAAAAATTGGAATTCTAAAATCAAGATAAAAGTATTTTTGACCTAAAATCAGGTTTGAATAATAACTCCAAACCCTAATTCAATTACAATCCCTAATTTATTCATTCTCCACTCCCAATCTCACACTCACTATCCGTCTCCCTCTCCCTCTCATCTCTTCCCCCCGGTCACGCTGCCTCCGTCGTCGTAACACCGGCCATTGAATCAACGGATCTCCACCACGTAAACAGCACTAGCGATGCGCTATGATGAAGAGATCGGAGATGGCAGTTGGTGCGGTTGCCTGCTGGTATCTGTAATCTTCTTGATCGGAGATGGTGGTTTTTGTCGCCGATGGTTCTGTAATGAAGAGGAGATGACATGGCGATGCAGATCCGTCGCGCCGTCTCACTTTTGCCATACCAGTCAGCGCGAAAGAAGCTCTGCACCGCCTTGAAGCAGTGCCACTCCGGCGACTCTTCACAGGCGAAGCACTGTATCAATGCGGAGAAGTAGAAACAGTTCGGGTTGCTGGCGATTTTGTGGGTTTGGACGGTGTTTTGTGTGGTGGTGGCGGTGGCGATGGTGGGTTTTGTGGTGGCGACTGTGGTGGTGAATCTGGCGGTTTGGAGGGGGTTTGGACAGTGTTTTGTGTAGTGGTGGTGATGTGTTTGTGTGGTGGAGGTTTTGTGGTGACGGCTGTGGTGGTGGTTGAATTTGGCAGTGGTTTGGGGGTTGTTTTGGTGGTGGTGTGGTTTTAGATGGTATTTGTTGGTTGTATAGGTAGGTGTGCTAGTAGCGATGGTGGATCAACGTTGATTTTTGTTGGTGGTGCAGACAGTGTTGACGGCGGTGGTGGTGCGGTGGTGATGGTTGTGGTCGTCATGGTGGTGTGGTGTCAGGGTGAGGGTGGTAGTGGTATGTGACCAATTATTTGGTTATTTGTGACCTAAAAACTTGATAACTTGTGACTAAAAAAATGATCCGTGACCAACTAATTCCAAAATCTATGACTGACAAATAAACTGTGACCTAAAAATTCAATAACTTGCGATTTAAAAATAATTTGTGACCAATTAATTTGAAAATATGTGACCGACTAAAAAACTGTGACCTATAATAATTTTGATTTGTAGCCGATGAAAGAATCTGTGACCAGTTATTTTTACAATATGTGACATTGTGATCTTAAAGTACATATCTGTGACCATAAATTTTATAACTGTGACCGTAATATGCTTCATTAATAAAATATTTTTAATTAATTAACACAAACCTGATTTTTGCATGTTAGAACTTTACGCCTGGAATTTGAATTGGCCATACTTAAAGCCTGATTCATGAATTTTTCCCTTTTTTGTTCGCCGTCATTCCTTTCTTGCTTCTGGGCTGTGTTACCTTGTGGGCCCAATTATTGGGCAAGCTGAGGGTCTTTAAAAAGCCCAAAATCTGAGGTTGCAGATTTTTCAACCAATTTTTATGAACGACGAGGTCAAACAAATATTTTGTATCCGTATTCCCATAATTATTATTAATTTATTTTCCAACGTATTTTATAGAACGTAGAGTTTGTAATTACATAAATTTTAGTTTGAACACTCAAGCATACTCTTTATTTTAGTGCATGTTTGGGAGTGTGCTTATAAATCGCAGCTTTAAGAAAACTTTAAAAATGAAAACTAAATTAAAAAAAAAAAATAATAATAATAATAATAATAATAATAATAATAATAAGATATCCATGTCCGGATATGAGATACAAAACATCAATGTAAAAATAAAAATAATATTATGTTTTAAATTAAAATTTTTCAATTATTATTAAAACTCAAAAAGTATAATCGCTGGAATATGGACAATTTATGTTATACATAAATCTAACATCGACATCATACAAAAAAGCTTCAAAATTCGAGTTTGATATTAAAGTTTATTGGCTTCTGAAGACCGAATCACTGCTTTACAATTTCGCGAATAAAAATGCATCATCATTTTAATTAAGGAAGTCAATTTCGATCGTCAACTCGGACGGTCCATGACTCGACCCGAAAAAAGACGAATCGGCTCGACTCGAGGCTCAATGGAACCAAGCCGAAGCTCGGACCGAGCCTTATTTTTGGGTATTGGCCCAAGCTTGAGCTAAGGCACATGAACTAAGGTTTGAGCATCAAACAGGGTGTTAAAAATCTCTTATTCACTTTTTCCTTTGAATTCAAAATTGCACGGCATCAAGAAACCCCCGACAAAAGTAGGCCAAACAAGCAAAGGAATGAGCGCCCCCTCTATTGCAGGTAAGAAAGGAGACTAGAGCTTCCAAAAACTAAAGAAAGAGAGAAATCTCCTCCAATTGCTGTTGAGCCTCGAGCCGAGCCTTATTTCTGGGCATTGGCCCAAGCTCAAGCTGAACCACATGAGGCAGCCCGTACGGTTGGCCAAAATGGCCTGTGAACATGGGCAAAAGTAACCTATGTAACACTGGCAGAGATAGATAGCAAGCAATGCTGCAACACAGGCAGCTGCTTGTGCTCGCAAATCGGCTCAATCTGGCTCGTTTACATCCCTAATTTCACTGGATAATGTTGTAGTGGTCCAACTATCCCAGTATTACGTGAATAAAAATACATCACAATTTTATTGGATAATATATATCCAGCAGTGATCTAACTATCATCTAAATTTATTTTAACCATGCCGCTGCTAAGTATATTACTCTTTAATAACACTCAAAACTCAAAAGTGCAATTTTCTACGTTAAAATTTCGAAACACGTAAACATGACCAAAAATGGATGAATTGCTGCAAAATAGGGGAAAAGTAGGACCCAATGAATTGAGGCCCAATGTGGGCTGAAATTCAAGCTACTTTGGCCCAAGTGTTTGTCTGTTAACTGTACAACAGAACTATTACAGGATGGAATTACAATTTTAAATTCAATCCCAATGTTCTTATTTCCATATAAAGCAATTCTCATCTTTTCTTTCGTTTTCATTTTTTATTTTTTATTTTTTTTAAACAAAAGGGAAAACCTCTTTAAGAAAAGAATAAAGTTGAAAACCTAGGAGCCTTGACTGGGACGCCAAAATTTATTCTAAACCGCGATCCAGCTTTGAAGATTCTATGATAAAGTTTAGGGATAATTGCATATATGATGTCAAATCTTTCAAATTTTTGCATTTTTTACCAAAATATTTGATTTGTAGAGAGCTGATCCCAAATCTTTTAAACTTGTGCAATGGAAGAACATTTGAATGATTTTCATCCAAAAATATGTTAGTTGATCAAAAGTTAGTATTTGGCCAATTTCGAAAAGGGTAATACGGCCTTTTAATAATTTATTAATTTAAAATGGTAATTTGCATTAGAAGACCAAATTTAACACGCCCCATGCAAATCCTTATTTCGGTAAATCGATCAAAGAATAGGGTCAACATGACCATATTAACAAGCATTATGTGCCTTTAGACTTTCAAACAAGACTAAGAGCAAAATAAAAGCATCATTGTCAAAAACGACCTTCCTCGTTGTAGTGGAGGTCCCAAACTTAATTGTGCTCCGGAAGGATTTTTAACAATTTTCATCCAAAAATCTGTCAATCAATAAAAATATTCGTCTTCCTCGGTCCACATAACCACCCAATTCCAATGCCTAAACCTTAACCCGCCCATGGAACAAACCTCATTTGCCTTGAATGGTGAGTTTCAAAATAGCCATCATCGCCTTAGCTACAACCACATTATTAAAGGTTTGGGACTTGAGATGCAAATTACCTTTTTTAATTAAATGGTTAACCGACCATCTTACCATTTTCAAAAATGGTCAAATCATGTTCAAACACTGACTTTTGATCAACTAACGGGTTTTTGGAAGGAAACCATCCAAAGGACCTTTCACCGCACAAGTTTGAAAGGTTTAGGACCAAAGCTGCTACCAATCAAAGATTTGGGTAAAAGCTACAAAAAATTGAAAGATTTGAACCGCGGTTGCAATTATCCATAAATACTAATTTCCTATTGAAAAAAGTTTAAATATATTAAAAATTGAACAAATAATTAGTACATAATAACCCATAATTATTAGATACATCTTTAATCTTCGAGGAGATACTTAGGAATCTTTTATTAATCAAAAACACCATTGGCTCTTCTGTTTATTAATCACCTGCCACGTCAATTCAATGACAAATCCCTGTCTATAACTTAATTTACTGGATAAGGAAGAAATTTTTCTCCCTTTATTTATGGATAAGAATCCAATTAATGAAATACATATTTCACAGTCTATCCTAGTTTCTGGATAAAGGAATACTATCAGGTTGGGAGAAATACTAGATAAGGAATTTTCGCCAGGCGGACAAGGAACTGCACTAAGATAAGCTTTATTGTCTGTATGTTGTGATTGTCTGATTTACGGTTTTTAATATATTTTTTAATCTCGGACAAATCATCTGAAAACCGACCAAATTTGGAAAACTGTCTGAAATGTAAAATTTTCCTGTCAGCATCAAATAGTAAATTCATATATATTAATATATATAACATAGTCAGCAATGTATATCTTCCAATTTGATTTGTAGGGTTTTATATATTATTGTAAGGATATATGGGAGAGCACCATGGTGAAACCAAAAAAGGTGGGTTGAATTTTCATGTAATTATTTAAAACCAAACCTATGCCTTTTCTTGTAAGCTAATTTCTTGATTGTTCTTGTTTCAGAAGTTGCTGGGAGTAAGGATTCCAAGCTGGAATTTTCTGAAGATGAAGAAATGCTCATGGCAAGAATGTTCAATCTGCTTGGACCAAGGTTAGTTTGCAACCAAATCACTGTGTGTGATTTTTATCCTTAAAAGCTGTTTCATCCGTTGGTGTTCGTGTTCGAGAGAGAGAGGGACGGGAGAGAGAATTGGGTTTTTGATGTGTTTGTTTGGAGCAGGTGGACTTTAATTGCTGGAAGAATACCAGGAAGAACAGCAGAAGAGATTGAGAAGTACTGGAATTCAAAGGCTTTGGCTAAAGATAACAAACATTTGGATCTCAAGTTTCAACAGTCCACAAATGATATGTAGATACATATGTTGTGTTCTTATGAACCTATTATAATTATGTCTTGTATAATATGTAAGGTAGTCGTCGTTATTTAGTCTTAATTGGATCAAATTACTCGTTAGAATTTAATAAGATCTGATATCATATTAAAACTCGGGATTTCATCTTAAAAGATCAATCTGATTAAGAGAAGCAGTCCAAGTTCTTATTAGTTAGTCTATATTTTCATTTGTATTCAATGTGAAATTTTATCCCTTAAGAGTCGAAAATGGAATTACTGTCAATTGTAAGTTTCTACGTTAATATTTTCATTTATTTTTCAGCAATTGAATCTGGTGTGGAATAATCCTGCTTTTATTTGAATTAATTTTTCTCTACTACAATTTCGACGATACAAAGAATGAATTTTAGCAAAGCGTGCCTGAAAATCCTAAATGGAACTTCACTTGAGTCGTTTTATAAACACCATTTTTTTGTAAAATTAAATGGCTTGACAATATTATAATTGGAAGAATTCTTCGCGAGCCTTTTCTTTTGCATGATCTGGTTTTCGCATCCTCATTGCATCGTAATTCATCAAATTACACCAAATTTTTTGTGCAAATCTCCTCAAATCCGTTGCACCATTTTGCACTAAAATTGTTAAATACTTTTTTACCATTCTCTTCCACTTTACACCAATTTTTTTAAGGGTATATTTGTCCATTTGTTATATGATAAATTTTAATTCTAAATTATTTATTGTGTTTGTGTGTATTTATAATAAATTTTAACCATTTAGTTAATAATAATTAATTGTGAATACCATTTCGACTTTGTAATAGCATGATATTGCGATTCGAAACGTGTTACATTCTTTTTTAATATTATGATTTAATATTTTTCATAGTTATTATATTTTCATCAATTGTACTACATTTTTTAAAATTTACTTATGAATTCAATATTTTTGTTAATAAAACGTAATTATTTCTTTAATAATTTATGTAGTAATAAAATAAATAAATAAATAATTTTTGAGACAAATAAATTGTTAAGAATTAAAAAACGAAGAAAATTATTTAACACTATTTATGTGATGCAACTTTTGATATAATGGATTAAAGATGATTTTCAATTTGGTGTAAGATTTTGTGCAAATTTTGGTGCAGGATTAAATACGACCTAATGCAAGTAATTAATTATAATAAGAAAGTGGGATGAATAGTCAATATCCAAAAGGCATTATTAGATTCCTTAGTCGCCAAATTATTGATAGTATACGACAGTGGCTCCGTGCTATTATATGACACCTTTTTGTGTGGATATTGTCTAAATAAGCGGCATTGTTTCGAGAATTTTGTGGTCCTAAATAAATAAATTATTATGAGATCTTTAAATTTATTTATTTATTTATTTTTATTTTTTTGTAACCTAGTTTCCATGTAGTTTCTAGACTAGACCGTTCAACACGTAACACACGGACTTTAGTAAAAATAAAAAAAAAATTAAATTAAATAAAAATTCTTGGCATGTTTCTCAAAGATAAAGATTCCAACCAAAAACAAGAAAAGCCCACATGCTAACTATGATATTTTGGATCCATGCTATGTGTTGGACAAAATTTTAATGTCTTTTGGGTAATTATTTACACCATAATTTTTATTTCTTGAACCACATTTTAATTATTTTTAAGGTTTTTAATTTTTGTTCATTGTAGAACTTATGCTCTTAACGATTTTTCATATCATTATCCTCGAACATTCCACTACCTAAAACATTTTGTATTTCATAACAGTTTTAATTCAAAAATCCATTAAAATGGTGTAAAATAACTTATTTTTAAAATTAAATAAATAAAAAGTGCAAAAAAATTTTATTTTTTCCCCTCTCATTTCAAAGTCCGAAAACAAAATATTTTTTTATATAAATCATCATCAATGACAAGAAATACTAATTAATGGAATGTTGAATTTAAGAATTCGACCGGGAAAAAAAATGTTAAAGAAATAATTTCTACAACATGTAAAATTGAGAAGCTTAACTACATTTAAAATATAATATCAAATAAAATTTGTGGTTGTAATTTACCTTTTTATTTTTTTGATTAATACTATCAATAGAGCTCACTAAAAATGTTTAGAGCTATAAACGTGTTTGGCAGCATCTTCTAAATATGTTTGCTTTGGACTTGTGATGGTTATTTCTTCTTTAATTCTGTCTAAAACTTTCTTTTATAATTTTAAGTAATGCCCAACCGACACGTAGTGAATGTCAATGCAAATATAACTTTGGATGGAAAATATAGGTTGGGATAAAATGAGCTTTCAATCTATATGTGATTACACAAATCAAATATTTGGATTTGGCAAAGATTCTCGTTGATTGAAATGGAAAGCAAGAAAATGTTACCAAACTCGTATCGACTTTTCTTTGCGCAAAAGTCATTATCGTCTATTTTTTCCATTAAAATATTGTAAATGACTAATTTGCTCTCATCTTTAAATCCACATTTTAGAGGTTATTTTAACTTCTGTCCCATGCTATCTACGTAACCAAAATAAGCCATTAGATGCTTCACATGGGGAAGGATTTGACAGTAACTCAACTTTAACCCTTGTTTGAGTCCATTCTTGTCCAAAAAATGCATTTTTGAATAGTATATTGATAGAAAATACGTGGTTAAAAAATAAAGATAAATTTTGAATTTACGTTTAATATTATTTTATTGAAGAATATGTAATTAAAATGAGATCAAATCACTGTTAAAGAATGAATTTTGGTGAAAAAAATGGAACTCAAACGAGGGCTTGACTGCATCTTCTTAACGGAAGTAGTTAGAAGGATCCACTAAAGGGTTTGCAAGATTGAGTTAAACAATTAGTAGCCTGCAGGCATGTAAAGCTAAAGCAGTATTTACAGATATTTCAACTCTCAAATTTTGTAACAATGACAAGAAAAAGATTGAAATCTTCAGCCTAAAAATCCAGGGAGAACGGTTGGCATATTTAGGTAAATCCAATTCTTTAATCATTCACATAGGAATCAACTTGCAAGAATAAAACACCATTGTACATATAAAATTAGATGGATATCTAATACATTATGGATAAACACAAATTAATAATGGAACAGAGTATGCACGAGTACAACACCATTTAACAGCTATCTGAACAAAAAAAGCTCGCAAACTCTTAACCGTACTCCCTCGATTTCCATGAAAACAGTAGAGTATCCGACAAGAAATCAAGATCATGTCATCTTGCACCTCGTCCCCAGCATCTCCTCATCCTTGCAGAACTCTCTCATAAGTCCCAACAACATGCTGCTCAAAAAATTATTGCCTTGACACTAGAAGAGCTTTGCCTGTTGTGTTGTTCCGCTTCTCATCATCTCACAGAACTCCTCGTAGTTGATCCTTCCATCCTATAAAATGCAGTAATATAAGGCTGGTCTATATCTAAATCGGGAAGACAGTGTGTATCTCATTTCTTGAATCAGGCATACTTACATTATCTGTATCGACTTCTGAAATTATTTCCCTGATTGTGGCCTCATCACCCATGCCGTACTCCTTCATAGCATTTTCCAGTTCATCTCTCGTAATGAAGCTGAAACGATATAATAAGGAAAGAATAAATCTACTTGTAAATTCTTTGTGTACATCTTAGATGACATTTCTATAGGTGTCAAAATCGAGGCCATTGATTGTTTCAAGTGTCGAACATATCAATGGTAAAATTTTGTGCCACGTATCAACCAGAATGTATGTGTAGCAAAACTGAATAGGAAATCAGGTGGTGTCAAATGTCTGGGATAATTTGAGGGAAGAAAGAAAAATCCCACAAGGTAGCAATAATTTCACTATATAATAAGATCAATATTGTAAACAGAAACAAGCAGAATTCTCTGCATTACTCCCATTGCAATCTTGGTGAAAATGATATGGTTTCTAAAACTTGATCCTCAAGTACAGAGTGTAGATAGAACAGAAAGTACCATAGATATTTTTTTGACTCCTTTTTCTTCATCAAACTATCTAATGTTGTTTAATCCACCTTACCAAACATCCATAAATGTGGACAAGATAAATGCACTGTCAACAGTTAGACCCTTACTTACCCACTGTTATCCTTGTCAAAATACTGAAATGCTTTATAGAGATGCTCGTCTCTTTCGAGCTTGTGTCTATGCATCGTAGCAGTTATAAATTCAAGGTAATCAATTGTCCCATTACCATCCACATCTGCCTGAGATATATAGAATAAATGTTTAAATCCAAGGAAGCAGTCATGGCAAATAAAGGTTAAACAAATTGTGTTCACATAGCTGAATGAAACTTACAGCTTCCATGAGTTGTTTTACTTCAGTTTCTGACAGTTTTGACCCAAGGCGAGCCAGTCCAGTTTTCAATTCTTCATATGTGATTGCGCCACTCTTGTCTGTGTCCATATTTGTGAACATTGCTTTGAGACCTTTAATTTCTTCTTCAGATAAATTTTGTGCAATGACCTACAGGAGTTTCCAAATGCAACAGTACATAGTAAGAGGAAAAGAACATCTACATCTAAGTTGAGCAATATTGCACATATGACTTGTTTGCAAAAATGATTAAGATTCATGACCAGAGGAAAAGTACTCTTTGAGTTTACCGTAATAAATACTCTATAGTGCTCTTTCCATGTGAAGTCAAATAACCTTTACTTTCTAATTGAGGTTGTTTCATAATAATGTTAATTTATTCCTCAAAATGGAAAATGTTTTAATATTCCGCGTGGGACCTACGTTTATCACAGAAAACCAATTTACGAACACCACATTTTGGCCCCTAGATTAATTATATAGAACATGTTTTCCAGTCTTACCTAATAATTACGCCAAATTATACCAAGATATTTTTATTGAAGCAAAGAGATTTCTATAAACTGAAAGTGGGTTCCAAATTTTATCCTTTATACATGTTTCATGTACCAATTCTAGTACTATGACAATTAAGAAACAATGCATGTTTATGTGCTTATTGAGTAGGTTTTGATTTTAATCCATCTAGATCAATTAAAGCTACATATTGAAGAAAATTGATAGTCTCGTATTTTCCAATGGAAGGAAGTCGGCAGAAAAATTCAAGAAGTACAGAATTATCAGACATGATCAGCAGGTCCAATAGATAGTTGCTCTACTAAAGGTTTATCATCACTTAAAAGTATCATATTTCTGGCTTGACAAACATAACAAAACTTGAACAAACATTCATAATTTCAATGTTCCAATTTAATTGATATAAAACGAAAGCATGAAATAATAATTTACCTTTAGTGCAAGTTTCTTGAGCTTATTCATTGCTCTGAACTGCTTCATTCTTGAGAGCACAGCACTATCAATTGGCTTATCAGGTGCTTGTCCTTTAATCCAAGGGTGCTCTATACAGACAAAAATAGATGTTCAACTTTGGGCTAGTTCGAGAAAGAAAATACATATTTCATAGCATCTTTATAAATTAATTATGAAATTGAAGAGAAATCCATAACTTCAGGGCAGTAAAAAAGATTAACTCAATAATTTAAACAACAAAAGTTCACAAAATGATAATTATTTGAATTAGAAACAAGAGACGTGATATAAACAAGAGTCATTAAGAATAAGCACTACACTCCAGTTGGCTCTTGACACGAATCAACTTATATTGGCCCCAATTTCTCATCTAGTTCTCGGGTAATTACTTTTTCATATAAGTTTTGGTTGGAATGGATATTAGCCTCAAGTTTTAACCAAAATTCAGCTGCTCGCTGGGATATCGAGGATAACTCATAAATAACGTATCATTCTTTCCATTCAGTTACTTTTTATATTCAGCATCTCTTATATCAGCACTCAACCGAGCCAATTTCCTAAGCTTGGATAAACTAATAACAGCGAAGACAATGGTCAGTTTAAGAAAATATATATCTCTATGTGATTGGAAAAGTTGATAAGGTACGCACAATACAAGTCAGAACAGAAAATCTGTCTTCATGTTCAAAAGACGTGCATAAAGATGCGAGGAATTGACACAAATTTGTATAAAAGGAAGAAGGTAACTTTACCCAGTACTTGTACAGAAGTAATCCTCTTCTTTGGATCCTTCATCAGCATTTTGCGAACAAGGTCTTTTGCACTGTTTGATATTGATGGCCATGGCTGGCTTTCAAAGTCAATTTCTTCTGTCAGTATAGCATCAAATATCCCCTTTTCGGTTTCTGCAACAAAATTACATGAAACATGTTGAGATGTTTGGATAAACTTAAAAAAGTAAGTACTTTTGCAGAAGTAAGTGTGGACTTATAGAAAATTAATTTTTTTATGAAAAAGTTTTTTTTTAAAAAAAAGGATGTAAAAAAGCTCTAACATGTATGGCCAAAAGAGTTATTTAAAAGTAAATTTTAAGCTTGGCCAAATATGTTAAGGTAAGAGAGAGTTACAGATGAAAATAAACATTGTATGGAATAACCCCATTTATCTTACCAGCCCAAAATGGAGGCACGCCACTGAGCAGGATATACAAAATAACACCTGCACTCCATATATCAATTTCCTTCCCATAGCTTCGACGTAGAACTTCAGGAGCTACATAGTATGCACTACCAACTATATCACGGTAGACCTTCCCTGTGATTTTAAAAATAAGGAATTGTTATTTTTTATGCAAATTACAAGAAAAAAAAATGTGGATAAGTGAAAGGATCATGAAAATACAAAATGTCAGAAACAAATTGGTTAAATTGCAAAACTGCACACATATAGAGGGCGTCACAATGTAGACACAAAGTGGTAAAATGGGGGCCACACTTTTTAATGATCTTAAAAATGGAAACTGCCGTTTGCACTTATTTTAACGATTAATAAGTTAACATTCTTTAATAACATGGCTATCATTCTCAGTCTTTGGCGTGAGCAGGTCTATTTACAATCAAAATTTCCCTTAGGAACTTCCACCAGAATCTGCAAATAGTTTGAATCAACGATCAGCTGCCAATTGTGTGAGTTGAACAAGCACTTAGTTCCTATTAACTAATACAAAAACTCAGAAGACACAGTAAGTCTATGAGTGAATGAGAAAACATATCAACCTTCTGAAATCAGCTGCAAAAATTGAGGTTTCAATGTCATTATATTTTCTTGTACCACTTAAATGAGGCATTCCATATTTGTAAAGCAGCATCTTGTGATGTAGAAGATCCTTGAAGCATCTTCCAATCTATTGTCAATCTCAAAGTGGAGAAAATTTCCACTGGAGTGGTGAAATTTGTATAGGTACTGGCTAAAGATCTGTTTACAATATTAGAATTGTATTCAACCACAATAATATGCTATCGCCAGATCTTAGATCACAAAACATTGAAAGAATCATAACACATACTAACGAAAATGTTTGTTATCTATGTAAACTTAGCTAAATTGTATAACTTAATTGAAATAACATTAGGTTCTAGAACTATAAAATTAGTTGAATAAAAGCCAGAA